TCCGGGCAGTGCCAGGGTGCTGCAAGCACCTGGGCAGCTGGCCACATGTTTGTTTGTGGCTCACTGCTGGGAAGGTCACTGCCCGGGCAAGGCTGCGCTGGGGGATAAAGGCAGCGTGGAGGGAGCCCCCCTGCACAGGCAGTCGCAGCAGCCAGAAGAACAGCAAGCCACGGCTATGGGGTGAGTGCTGCAGCTGCTCTGGGGCCCAGGGGATAGGGTCTTCAGCTGCTGGGGCCGGGGGAGGGTGTGGTAGGCACTGAGGGGGGGCTAGGACATGTGCTTTAGGCAGTAAGCGACTTCCTGGAACAACTGTCCCCCAGCCGTGGCACTGCTGTGGGGAAGCCTGCAGCACTGTGCCTCAGCAGGTTCCAGTGGGCTGAGCAAGCCCCAAGCTCACCGGACCCAGGGGACGGGAGGATTCTCAGCCCGACACCAAGGGCCCAGGCTGCTCTGCTCACACAGCTCTTCCCACAGGGCCCCGATGCTGCTGATCGCCACTTTGGTGTGGGGGGTGCTCGCCACCGCCAGCGAGGGCCCAGTCCCACAAGGTAGGGGCAGGGGCCTTGGGGGGAAGGGGCTGGGCTGGGTAGGAGGACTTGTCCGCCCCACCAGCCAGCGCTGCCAGGTGAGCCCGGGGGGTCGGGGCAGGGGCTGCCCAGCATCTGTGGGCCCGCCCTGCTGCTGCTGTCGCTGCGGGGTGCAGTGGAGCCGATCCACTCCCGGAGGGGCTGCCACCTGTCCCCAGTGTCCCCTGCTGGGACCTGGCAGTGCAGGAAGGAGGGTGCCTGGGGGGCCGTGCGCCAGCTGCAGCTGATGCCGGTGCTTGCCCCGCAGTGTGCGGGAAACCCAAGAACTCGCCGCAGCCGTTGCAGCGCATCATCGGTGGCCGTATGTCCGGCAAGGGCCTGTTCCCGTGGCAGGGCCGGTTGGTGTCGCCACACAACCTCACGGCGGGGGCCACGCTCATCAGTGACCAGTGGGTGCTGACCACGGCCAGGAACATCTACCTGGGGCAAAACGCATGCGCCAGCCCTGAGGACATCGCCCCCACCCTGCAGCTCTTCCTGGGCAACAGGGGACAACTGCCCGCGGGCGCTGTGGAGCGTGTGGTCCTGCACCCCAACTTCAACTCCACCGACTGCAACGGCACCTCCAACAGC